CCCCACTGCCTGGAACTTGAGCTAGCCTGCACCCTCTCCCTCACAGTAGAGTTTGTTTGTTTTTTTTTGGGTTTTTTTGTTTTTTTTAAACAGATCTGGGGAGCCCAGACGTGGCCAAGTGCCCCTCTTTCAGGCAGGGGCCTTTCTAATGGGACCATCCAGGCCAAAACCTGACAAAGAATTTCCAGATGTTCTGCATGGATCTAGCAATGGCACTGCCACCCCTCTGCTAAGTAGGCTGTACCACAGTCTTATGGACCCTCCCCTGGCAGGGGGCTTCCCCCAAGATACACCTTGCATTCTGCTCCCTTAATGCCACCCTATTGTTACTGCAGGAGGACTTGATCTGGCCCCCTTGTGTGAATGCCTGATCACACGTCCCCAGCTACGGAAGGGGGAGAGGTGGGGGAGGGGTGCAGGCAGAGGAAAAGGATACTTACTACAGTCCTGGGAGTAATGCCGGCTGACAGCGAAGGTGAAGGTGGGCGAGGAGGGGCTGGTGGTGTTGGCGGGGGCAGAGTTCATAGCGCTGGATACAACAGAGGAGGCAGGGATGTGCTTTGCCTTCAGGTCGATGCTGGGGCTTGTTGGCTCATCTGGAAGAGAGGGGAAAACCATGAAACCATGGAGCTAGAGGCAGTGAAGAGCACAGCAGAACCCCACAGCAAAGACCCAGGCAGGGAGGGGCAGATGCCTCCCTGCTAATGGTTCCCAGGGGAACTTTATGTACCCCTAACAGGCTCCAAGGACCCCAAGGGCCCCTGCTACAGGCTGCTGGGACTCCAGGGCCTGAGATCCAGAGCAGCTGAGGACCCAGTATTTCAAAGACCCTCTCCAGCAGCTTTTAATGAATGCAGGCTGTGTGCTTTCCAGCTCCTGCACTCTCCCCAATCCACTCCCTACACAATCCCCTATACAACTCCTGGGAAGAACCAGTCCATCTGGTCTAGGAACGCCCTGAGCTGATGCTAAGGGGATCCTCAAGACATGGTGCTGCCATGCAGTACAGAACAGATGACACTGCTCTCTGGGGCAGTAGGAACCACGACTGCTTGCTCTCTGTCTTAGGGCTGCATGATAGGAAGCCAAAGTGACTCCTGTCACTAAGTGGACTAAGCTTGCCGTGCTGGGCTGCAGAAGAGGGCAGGCTTGCCATTATGCAAAGGGAAAACCCCTGTAAGTGGCTGAGGAGCCACCTGACTGGAAGGGGTGGTGCTTAGAGGTATACAAGACAGGTGCCTAGGGCAAAGAAGGCAGTTTGGCCCTTCAGGCTGCAGGGAAAGGCACTCCTGGGAGAGAGGGTCTTCAGGAAAGCAGCCCACAGACATTCAAGCTACCCAGAGAAGCTGGATGGAGAGCGCTAAGGGGGAATTATGGCTTGGAACGGGGGCATTGACCCTATAGTGCTTAGGGCCAGAAGGGACCTAAACAGATCATCAGGTCCAAACCCCTGCCCCGGGCAGGAACAACCTTGAGTGGGGCTAAATTTTAGTTTGGAAGCTGTTGGCTTATATTTGTGTTACAGTTAAGTTTAACACCAGGGGACTGGATTGTGGCTGTAGGGGAGGATTGGAGACAGTGTATCAGGATGTTTGGGGCACATGGGGTTTCAAGCCCTGGAAAGGGAAGAAGGAGAGTTAGTGAGATGGAGAGGGAGAGTCTAGCGAACTAGAGCCAAGAGGGCCAGAGTCTGTACCTCAAAAGTGAGAGATAAGGGATATGCTTGAGCTGAGACAGCCAGAGCGTGCACCTTGAGAGCAAGAGGCAGGGGCAGGTGAGAGCTGAGAAGGCCAGAGGATGTGCCCTGAGAGCCAGAGACAGGGACAGGGGGCGGGCAAGAACTGAGAGGGTGAGCCTGCGCCTTGAGAACGAGAGACCAGGGTCCGAGGCAGTGGACCTAGGCTGAGGGGGCACAGCCAAAGAAAAGGGGCCAAAGCTGGGAAGGCTGAAGCCCCCCACAAAGGTTTGAGGCCTGAGGGAGCCAGGTGCTGTTTGGGCCAGGGACCCACTCCAAAGCAATACCAGGTACCATCTGTAAGTAATGGACATGGCCAGAGGGGAGGATGGAGGCCGCAAATATCACCCCTAAAGCAGCTTGTGCCCTAAGGCATGAATAGGGCCAAGCGAGCCATGATTTAGCTCCAGAGGGCTGTGACTGATCCCAGGCTTACTTTGGGATCCTGGTGCAGCCTACCTAAGTCTTATAAGTTACGTCAACGTATGGCATGCGAGGTAGAAAAGGGAGAGTACCACAAGGAGCCAAGTGGAGCAGGAATGCCCTGGCCTCCCGGGGTTGTAATGGCCACCCCAGGACCTGGTCTTGCTACAGCTCACATAACTCCCCTGCTCTAACAACTCTGTGCCAACTCACTTGGAAGAGGAAACTCATGGGCACCAGAGTCCATACAGCTGGTGCTGGGAGCTCGCTGCTAGTCCATCAGGTTCTAGGTATATATAACTGCTGCTTGCTGCAGAGCTGGACAGGGGAAGGGATATAAAAGGAGGGTGCTGGCAAAGCCCACACCACACAGAGAGAGGGTGAGGAGGATGAGGAAAGCCCCTGAGTCACTGCAGCTGTACTGCGGTTAAAAAGGAGGCCTTTGTGTGCCTGGGCAGTCTCATGCCCCCAGCACTCTGATGAGGTGGCCGCCTCCACAGAGAGGGTAAGGAGAACAAAGGAGGTTCGAGTTGGGAGGACAAACAATGGTCAGGCTGAAGAGGGATGCAGGGAGAACAAGGGATCCTTGCTGTGCCAGCCCATGTGCATCTCGGGCAGCAGAGTGCCAAGGCTCCCATTGTGCTGTGAGACCTGGGTTCTCCTCTGTGCAGGGGAGACAGTATGTACCAGGGAGAAAGGCCATGCCATCATCTGATGACATCATAGGGAAAAACAGCAGAGGGCATGGTGACCGGTGGGCTGAGAGAGCCTGGCACTGAGCAGCCTAATGCCTGCAAGCCCAGGCTACCCCCTGGCCACTGGGTACAGGCCTGGCTAAGCTACATGAGGTAGGACAGCACAGCACGAAGATTTCATAAGAGGGGTGAGAGCTGGAAGGCAGGCAGAGGAAGATCAACCTCTTCCCCCAGGACCTTGGTTCTGCACAGCCCAGGTCTTGGGAAAATCATAGAATCACAGAGAAGTAGGGCTGAAAGGGACCTTCATAGGTCATCCAGTTCAACCCCCTGCCTGAGTGAGGCAGGATCATCCCTATCAAAACCATCCTACACAAATCCATAATCTAAGCTCATAGTAAAACTACTATCAATCCTGACATAACACAAGACCTGACACCCTAACCTGCCACTGGTAAAGCAGAGGGACTGTGGCAGCCAATGTCCTGTTGCTGTAAAATGTTAAAAAATGCTGAAGAGATCTCAAGTAGAGTCATGCCCCACCTACAGAGGAAGGCAACCCCCCCCCCCATCTGTATCATTGTGACCATCAGGTAAAATTCCTTCCCGACCCCAAATACGGTGATTGATCTGAACCTGAGCAGAGGGGCAAGATCCTCTAACCAGGAACCTCTGGCTTTGAGTCCCAGCAGGACCACTTGTCCATCCCAGAGCTACACACTGCGTTCCGCAAAGCAGTGGGGCCTGCCGACGCCAGGAGATGTCCAAAATGGTGACAGTCCCCAGCTGAGGCTGCTTATGCCCTGCAGTCTCTTTCTGTCCCATCCTGCTCCACACTGGAAACACCTCTTTGCTTCAGCCTGCTCAGGGGGCCTCTGTTCTGATTAGCACAGGATCCCACAGTAGAGGGGAGAGGCACTGGCCTGGTTCCAGTCCCAACACTGTCACTGAAATGACCTTGGCTATGTCGCTTCCCCTATCTGTGCCTGTTTCCCTTCTTCACTCACGTCTCTCTTGTAAGTTCCTTGGGACAGGAACCCTTTTCACTCTGTCTACACAACACCCAGCAGTACGGACCCCAGACCTGGGTTGCAGCTCCTATGTATTCTGCAATACAAGACAAGGGGAAATTCCAGTTCATGGACTCTCCTGCCAGCTATGAGAGTGGTGGTTACACATGAAGAAGGAACCACGGAGAGCAGGCATGGGGAGGTTACAGGTAGGCGTGTGCAGGACAGCAGGGACTCAACCAACTCCTCAGCTTTCCCTTTTGAGCCCAGTGCTGCCTCTCCCCAGGCTGGGGTGGCTCCACAGTCAGGCCATTGGGCTGCTCTGATCCCCTCCCTTCTCTAGGTCCTGATGGGCAGAGGCCATTGGTTAGAAGATGCTCCCATGCTGTGACTGCATGGAAAGCCAGGCTCTGCTGCTGGCCAGGGAAGACCTTGCCAAGTCTCTTTGCTAAGCTATGGCTGGAAAGAATGACTGCTGGGAAGCGCTGCCTGGGAGGCAACGGCCCTTGCTAACCACATCTCTGCCCTGCCCAGGCAAGTGCCGCATATATTACTCATGCACCTTCGGTTTGAATGGAGCCGTAGTAGGGGAAGTGACACTGGCTCTATTACTGATGCAAAGCAGGATGGGGAGGCTGGGGGGGAAATATGTCTTAGCCCAGGCCCTAGCAGAAATATGCCCACTTCAGCAAAGCCAACAGTGCACGCATGGGTCCTCTGAGTGGTGGCCTCTGCAGAATCTATTCTAGAGACAGGAGATGGCCCGGCCCTGTAGAGGTAGGACTCTCGGGTTCATGGAAGAAGCATAGGTACGGCAGGGAAGGACACACTCTCTGCCTAGCAGCAGCTCAGCAGAAGCCTCTGGACCTTCCAGTCAGACACTTTTAACAGGCAAGAAAAGAGGCCAGCTTCCACCAATAGCCACACTGCTCTCAAGGATGTAGGTGTGCCATGGCACATAGAACAGGGCAGTACTGGGTAAGAGCTATCAGGAAAAATCAGATGATGCTTGGATGGGAGGCAGAGCATTCCAAGCCTAGTGCCCACCACTACCAGGATACACAGATCCACTGGGACGAGGCCATTTGCAGGTCAAAGCCTACAGGAGCCCAGTGGCTTGGCCCCTTGACCAAAAGGATGCTTCACGGTGTTTCCTTGGCTTACCCCAGCAGGTGGATGGAGGACCCTTCTCCCCACTCATCTCCTGCACATACAATGCTCTTGCTGCACATTCCTCTGGGTGTGACCCGAACATCTCAGGGGCCATCAGCCCAACACACTGTGGCCTGTATCCTCTTCCTGATCCTGGACTTCCATTACCCTCAATTATTGTGGCTTATCCCCCTACCACCCAAGGTAACCCCAGGGTTGGGCGTTCAGAGGCATTCTTCTCCCTGAGATGGAGTGAGTATGCTAGGGGGGACCCCAACTGCATTACCAAAGAGCCAGGCAAGGCACACCTCCCACTCACCTATAAATGGAATGGATGCCAAAGAGTCTTCTGGTGCTGCCAATGGTGCTACCCGCCGGGCAGGCCGCTCCACTACCTGCATTTCTCCTTTGCTGCTCACCGGTGGGTCACAAATGTCCGTTTCCTTCATGTCATCAGGAAAGACAAAGTTCATCTGCCTCAAGGGAGGCGGCATCTTGCGCCCCGTGGGTGGCTTTTGCCTGAGGACGACCTCCTCCTTTTTCTCCTCTGCCTCAGGCTGCAGCCGCTCCATCCCCTGAGGTGGGGATGGCTCAAGAGGCCTTGTACTGCTCTCACGGCTGGTCAGTCTTTGGTCCTTGGGGATTTCCACCCCACTGCCAGAGGTGGGGTCTGGGCGAGGGGAGGCAGCAGCCAGCAGTGATGTGGACAACCCTGGCGTGGATCTGTCTGTATAAGGTGCTGGTTGGTTTCCTTGCCTCTGTGATATACTAAAGGTTGGAAGGCCACCAAAGGTAGGGTCCCTGAAGGAGAGCGCATGGAGCAAGCCAGTCCGGCGCTGGAAGGAAGGACTGTAGCTCCTGTAACCGATGTACCCCGAGTCATCCACGCTCTGGAGGTTTGGCTGGGAGGGATGTTTCTGCACATGCATGGGGGGAGCTTCTCTCGAGGAGGAGGAAGAGGGGGCATATGAACTCAGCTGGCTGGGCTGAGTTCGGGCAACCTGCCCATGGCTGGGCCTGTAGAATTTCTCCGGAGGCCATACACACTGGTCCAGCGGTGGAGATACCAGTGCACTCTGCTCCAGTGCTTCCATGGAGTGCCCATACCTCATTAGGTAGTTATCAGACCTCGCCCGGTAAGCCCAGCTGTCATGGCTGGGCTGTAGCAGGGTGTCTTGAGAGGCACTGTGAGGCCACCCTCTGGGTGCCGGGGCATCTCCTAGGCGATCTTGCGAGACGCTGCGGTACCGGGGTGGCATGGCATACCTCCGCTCCTCTGAGGCACTCCTGCGTGGCACTTGGTTGGAAATCCAGTTGGAGAGTGCCTGCTGGCACTCCAGCCTGCTGACAGCCTTGGTGCCACCCGAACCCTCCCAGGAAGGGCGGCCCATGCCAGCAGCCGCCACACTAGTATCACGGGCATCCTTGAACCCGCAGTGAGTCCGATGCTCTGGGAGGTGCTTGGGGACCCCGTAGCATGTATGATTGGTCACGGAGGAAGCAGGAGGGACACCGTACCTCTCTGGCAAAGAGGGGGCTAGGGGACCCTGGCAACCGCTGCTGGAGACATGCGAGAAGGTGCCAGGAGCTGGGGCAGGCCTCCCCAGTGGCATCCCTGCCCTCTGCTGGGTCATTCCATACTGGATCTCCTCAGTGCGGTGGGCTGGGCTGGAGTGGGTGCTGCCAAACTCACGAGGGGCTTCACTCCTAGCCTCGTTCCACGAGCTGGGGATGGGGCTCGTGAGGGATGTGCTGTGCAGGGGCGAAGATGGGCCTGAGGATGAGGGGCGGTAGGGCCTGCTGTCTGCTTGCTGCCCCTGCAAGGGCTCTGCTACCATCACCTCCCGGGGTGGTGGCCTGGACTGGAATGGGTAGGTCTTCCGAGGGTAACAGACAGGAGGTGGCTCTGGGATGCTCTGGGCCCCTCCAGCATATGGTTCATTGCCCTTCAAGTAGGCATCTTGCGAGTAGGCCTGGGGAAAAGAAGAGGGAGAGCAGTTAGGGCAGCCAGGATCCAAGCATACGAGACATTTACACCACCCCCCCACCCCACCCTGTTTGCCTCCTGATCAACAGGGTTAAGGTCATGAGCACTGAACAAGAAGCCATCTAGAGTAGATCTAGAGCACTTCCACAGCATGCCCCATAGGACCCCACACACTTGCTCTACCTGTGCCAGTCCCAACAACAAGGAAGGGAAGATGCCCTGCGCTCGAGCCCTCAGGACCCATCACAGCTGAGAGAGGCATGGGGAGTGCACCCAGAAGCACTGTATAAGCAGTACAGGCATACCTGTAGGGGGTCAGGGAGGGTCACATGGGCAACAATGCAACTGGGCTAAGAGGAATAGACAGAATGACGGCACCAGAGTAGGAAGGCACCCAGCCCCTGGAGCTGCTCTTTGGAGGGCATGTGATAGACCTGCTGAGTTACATGAGAACTCATGGAAAACTGAATGCTAGCAATTGCTGTGTCTACTGGGCAGCAGTAACCTTCATGTCCCCTGCACATCCACTGGCTTCCTGATATGCTCCCAGGGTACAAATGACAGAGAACAGACAGGTCCTTCAGCTCAAACATCTGGATCAGTAGGCGTCAGCTGGTAAAACAAACTGTCCAGCTGGACAGGATGCAGCCCAGAAGGGGGAAAGCCCCATGCAGACTGGTGGGCAAGGCCACTGATGGTGTTTGTCAGTGAGTGGCTGAACACCACACTGCCCTATAAACACCAGGCACCACTCACTGTGCATCTCTCTTCCTCCCACAGGACAGACCTGATTCCCTTTTTACCATGGGACTGAGCCAGTACAAGGGCAAAAGCCAGACTGAAGACTCTGGCCAGGCGAGGGCCACTGCAGGGGGAAGCAAAGGGACAAGCCCATGGGGCACTGAGGTGGTTTGTGGGGAGAAAGGCCCATAAGAACTGCTGTGCTAAGTACACCAGGTCTGTGCCCCTCCTGCCATGCTGAGCGGGTGCCTCAACAAAAAGCTAAGATTCCCCCTGGTGATTCTGGGGTTCAGGCGTTGTGGGCTCCTTCTGTGGCCCCCAAAATTGAGGCACCTAAAACCAGCAGTGAACATCATGACCTGGCCCCTCACACTGGCCTGGGCAGGGGCTGTCTGAAGTCTACTCCAGTCGCACACCGTTCCTCCAATCCCCTTCCTCAGCTACTTGCTCCAGAGGCAGAAGGTGACTAACACTCTCTAGTCACTGCCAGAAGCCCTGCACTCCCCTGATTGAACACGACGATGAACACCCACAGCTCCGCTGGTTCCCATCACTGCGGCTGCCAGCTCCCTACCCCGCCCTTCCCAAAATACCTCCTGACACACCTCTGCCAGGGTTTTCCTTCTCACCTTTCACAGGTAATTCTGAGTCAACCCATCTGGCTGCAGGCAGAATGCAAACCCCCAGCTTCCTCAAGACATGTCTGCTTGCCATATTCCCCTTTGGGAAGGAAGCAAAGCCTACACATGGCTAAGAAGAAAGCCTGGCAGTCAGGATGCCTGGATTTTGTGCCCAGCCATGCAACTGTTATGATGTATACATTTGGGAAAAGTCACTTCTTTTGTGCCTGAGTTTCCTCACCTGCAAAATGGGGCACCAGGCAACAAAACAATATGTGTTTGTCACCCTCTGCCAGCTGCTGCTCATGGGGCTATAGGATGGGAAGGGGCCTCCTGGGCTATTAAATCTAGTCCCCTGCATTGATATGGAATCGTTAATCAAAGGAAACTCCAAAATCAACACCACTACAAACCTTACCCACCTACAAGGAACACAATCTGCAACACCAAGAACACCCTGTAACACATCCTGGGTAAAAGCCAGGGAGAGAAGGGCACTGCCACTGCTCTGACAGTGCAACAGCTGAGAAGCAATTAGGCAATATGCTCAGAAGATCCTAGGAAAAGGGGCAAACTTCCCCCAGGAGGGCATTTCCCCTGCAGGGAGAGGAAGGACCCATATATAACAATGATGGCCACTTTCCTTACTGTGCTCCTGAAGGGTGCCCGGATGTCCCAGTGGTGAGTACAGCATAAAAATTGAGTAGACCTGAACTCAAGCATGGCCAGGCTTATGCCCAGACCACTTCGATGCAGAGATACCAATGCCCTTGCCAGGTGCCTCATGACTTTGCTCATGGATTAGAACAGAGAACAGCCTTTCCCATCTGGGGAGTGAGCAACCTTTTGACCTGCTCTCCAGGAGAGGAAGGACAGCAGGAGCAAGAGCTCTTCAAAGGAAGCTCAAGCTATGGGCTCTATAGATGCAGCATATGCAGAGGCCACCCTGGAAGCTGCCATGTTGGGATGCCTCGCAAGCTGCAGGGACTGGAGGAAAATGTCCCACCAAAGGCTCCACCAAACCCAGACAACCTGTGTGATGGTGATAGGGATGGAACCCTAGATCTCTGTCTCTAAACCACCTGAGGCTCTGCAATTGGAGCTGAGAGACCCACACTAGTTAGGCAAGGCTGTCACACACTCACCATCCTCTTTGCTGACAGATACTACCACCCTGGGTGGGCAGGGTAGGGGCAGAGTGCCTTCCTGACTGGGAGGAGGTTACAGGATTAGAATGCCCAGCAGCTGATCCAGGCCGGAGTCACTGAACCGTGAGATCTTCCCCATACCCCAAAACCTTGGAAGCAATGGGCTAAGCCAGTTTTGAATAAGAAACAACCCCCACCATAAGGTAAACAGGGCACAGAAGTGGATCCTAGCTCAGCAGGGAATCACAGCCGACTTGTTGACTACAGCCAAACAGGCAGAAAAGTGATGAGTCAGGAAGGAGCGGGTTTTATGGGGAGGAGCTGATTGCCTGGCCTACAGAGCTGGAATGGGTCCCATCCAGGCTTCAACCCGGCAACACAAGGTCAGGAAGGCTGGTCTTTAGCTTTCTGCAGCAGGCGCTGTGTTTCTGTGGCATGGTTTCATATGTGTGTCTGGTGGAGTCAAGCCTGAGGTTTGCTCCCAGAGAGAAAAGGTTAAAGACTAAGCAGTGATAGCAGAGACAGGGCCACATCATCTTTCCTCCTGATGCCCCACAGTGCCTGACAACCAGCTGGATCTGATTAAAAGCAAATCACAGGCAAGGCATTGCTTCATTGCAACTGGAATGCAACCGCCTCTGGGGTGGAACGTGGTGGTTGTTAAACACCACACAGCAACACTCCAACAGTTGTTCCAGAGTAAAAGCAATGCTGCAGCTGTGATCCCACAGCCAACTTAGGGAGGCTGGCATTGGGTCAGAGCTAGAAAACAGCCAGGATGTAAAGGCTTTACACCCTTCAAATAGGGGCAAAGTGCCAGAGACCCTGCCCCATGCCTGCAGATGCTCTTGGATGAGAATGCAAGTGTTTCCAGTGAAGTACGATGCTGAAAGCTCCCTGCACACACAGTGCTCCCATGGACACTGATGGGAGCTACAGGCACTCCAGATATGTTGCCATGGCTCCCCAGTTCCTTAAACTATCCAGCAGTTAAAACTACCTTGGTGATATCACCTAGAGGGTCCAAACCCTAGGATCCACAGCAACCTGCCTCCCAAAGCTGCCCTGGATAAAGCACCTAGAAGTATTTTCCCTTTCCTTTTCACAAAGTTTCCTCTCTGAGTGCTTCCTCACCCAAATGGGACAACCCCCCTGGCCCCTAAGGCCCTTGCTAACTTGTAAGTCAGCCCTTGGGAGGCTGATGGAGGGAGCAGAGCCCCTGGTTGCTCCCAGGCCAGCCCCTCCACCACACTGGAATCCTGCTACATGTCCAACCAATGAGAAAACAGGCACCTTCTGATCCAAAAAAGGAGCTGTATGAAGTCGCAACGCACTCGCTGAAAAGGCTGAAACTCCAGAGTGCTGTTCCCTGCACTGAAGAATCCCTTAACACACACTCACACACATACACACACACACCCCTTTTCTTTTTAACCCTCTTAAGCTTCAGCTACAGAGCTAAACTCTCACCTTCAAGGGCTAGCTTGGGAGGCTTCATCTGTGCCAGAATTGAGGGAGATATACCTGGCAACTACACATCTCTTTCTCCATCCTCTGCACAGACTTCGGATGCCCCTTACACAAAGCTTGTCCATACAGTGTCCACCACAACACTGCCTCAGCCCAGCTGGCCCTTTTGCCCTTCCATAATCCGCAAGATCATGAATCAACAACATACATGCTGCACATCTACATGCAAGGAATGATCTATATGTTCCTGGTGTAACACAGCCCCCCCCCCCCCCCCCCCCCCCCCCACCCA